CGAACCTGGACTGGCAATTCATTTCACATATGATAATTTACATGTTTCAATGTCATTCTCCCATATCATCCTGCCCTTGCCCTCTCCCACAGAGTCCAAAAGACTGTTCAATACATCTGTGTCTCTCTTGCTGTCTCGCATACAAGGTTATCATTACCATCTTTCTAAATTCCACATATATGCGTTAGTATACTGTATTGGTGTTTTTCTTTCTGGCTTACTTCACTCTGTATGATAGGCTCCAGTTTCATCCACCTCATTAGAACTGATTCAAATGTATTCTTTTTAATGGCTGAGTAATACTCCATTGTGTATATGTACCACAGCTTTCTTATCCATTCGTCTGCTGATGGGCATCTAGGTCGCTTCCATGTCTTGGCTATTTTAAACAGTGCTCTGATGAACATTGGGGTGCACATATCTCCTTCAATTCTGGTTTCCTTGGTGTGTATGCCCAGGAGTGGGATTGCTGGGTCATATGGCAGTTCTATTTCCAGTTTTTTAAGGAATCTCCACACTGGTCTCCATAGTGGCTGTACTAGTTTGCATTCCCACCAACAGTGTAAGAGGGTTCCCTTGTCTCCACACCGTCTCCAGCATTTATTGCTTGTAGACTTTTGGATAGCAGCCATTCTGACTGGCATGAAGTGGTACCTCATTGTGGTTTTGATTTGCATTTCTCTGATAATGAGTGATGTTGAGCATCTTTTCATGTGTTTGTTAGCCATCCGTATGTCTTCTTTGGAGAAATGTCTGTTTAGTTTGCAAAGAACTTTTTTTTTTCCATTTATTTTTATTAGTTGCAGGCTAATTACTTTACAACATTGCAGTGGTTTTTGTCATACATTGAAATGAATTAGCCATGGGTTTACATGTATTCCCCATCCCAGTCCCCCCTCCCACCTCCCTCTCTGCCCTATCCCTCTGGGTCTTCCCACTGCACCAGGCCCGAGCACTTGTCTCATGCATCCAACCTGGGCTGGTGATCTGTTTCACCCTAGATATACATGTTTCAATGTTGTTCTCTTGGAACATCCCACCCTCGCCTTCTCCCACAGAGTCCACAAGTCTGTTCTATACATCTGAGTCTCTTTTTCTTTTTTTGCATATAGGGTTATCGTTACCATCTTAATAAATTCCATATATATGTGTTAGTATACTGTAATGGTCTTTATCTTTCTGGCTTACTTCGCTCTGTATAATGGGCTCCAGTTTCATCTATCTCATTAGAACTGATTCAAATGAATTCTTTTTAATGGCTGAGTAATATTCCATGGTGTATATGTACCACAGCTTCCTCATCCATTTGTCTGCTGATGGGCATCTAGGTTGCTTCCATGTCCTGCCTATTATAAACAGTGCTGCGATGAACATTGGGGTGCACGTGTCTCTTTCAGATCTGGTTTCCTCAGTGTGTATGCCTAGAAATGTAAGACCAGAAACTATAAAACTCCTAGAGGAGAACATAGGCAAAACACTCTCTGACATAAATCACAGCAGGATCCTCTATGATCCACATCCCAGAATTTTAGAAACAAAAGCAAAAATAAACAAATGGGGCCTAATGAAACTTAAAAGCTTTTGCACAACAAAGGAAACTATAAGCAAGGTGAAAAGACAGCCCTCAGATTGGGAGAAAGTAATAGCAAATGAAGCAACAGACAAAGGATTAATCTCAAAAATATACAAGCAACTCCTGCAGCTCAATTCCAGAAAAATAAATGACCCAATCAAAAAATGGGCCAAAGAACTAAACAGACATTTCTCCAAGGAAGACATACGGATGGCAAAAAAAAAACACATGAAAAGATGCTCAACATCACTCATTATTAGAGAAATGCAAATCAAAACCACAATGAGGTACCATTACACGCCAGTCAGGATGGCTGCTATCCAAAAGTCTACAAGCAATAAATGCTGGAGAGGATGTGGAGAAAAGGGAACCCTCTTACACTGTTGGTGGGAATGCAAACTAGTACAGCCACTATGGAGACCAATGTGGAGATTCCTTAAAAAGCTGGAAATAGAACTGCCATATGACCCAGCAATACCATTTGTGTGTTTTAAATGAGGTGACTTTTACACAGACATGGGTATGCAGGGCAGATAGTCAATTGATTTATTTAAACCCTCAGAAATCAAATAACACCAACCAGGACATGATTTAGTGACCAAAAGAAGTAAGATGGGAGAGGGAGTGTGAGTGTGAAGAGAGAAGGATCATGTTAATCAGGAACCAGGAAAGTCATCTTCTTGTTGCTGATCTTGATTCCATGGAGACAAGGAGGTGTCTGGTCAGTGACTCTTTCTGTAGGTGAATAAAACAGAACCAAAGCTTTAGTAGATTTGACTGTGTGATGGCTGACAGGGGTGAATCTCAGGCAATAGGCTGTCCAGGGTACAGAGAGCTAGTAGCTGATCCAATGTACAATTCCAGGTGGACCTCAACACTGCACATCTCTGTGATGGCAGGTTCCCTGTGGAATTGTCCTCAGGATGTGCGTATGGTTGGAGATTTACCATTGGGGATTGATTCTATGAGTAAAGATTTCACAGTGCATGTACATGCTGGTGCTTCATCTAAAGATGATTATCAGGCTCTGTAACTGGAGCAAGCAACTCTAATCCTGCAACTTTTCTCATTGTGGTCCTCAAGAATTAATTTTTTTCTTTTATTTTTTAAATATTAGAGCATAGTTGATTACCAAAGTTACATTAATTTCAGGTGTACAGCCAAGTGATTATACATGCAAAAGTTAGTATCTATTCTTTCTCAGATTCTTTTCCCATTTAGGTCTTTACAGATTATTAGGGCTAGTCTCCTGTGCTATGCAGTTGGACCTTGTTCTCTAACCATCCTGTCTATAATAGTTTGCATCTACTAACCCCAAACTTCTCAGACAGTAAGGAATCTGCCTGCAATTCAGGAGACCCAGGCTTGATCCCTGTGTTGGTGAGATCCTCTATAGTGAGGGAATGGCTACCCACGCCAGTATTTTTGCCTGGAGAATCCCATGGACAGAGGAGCCTGGAGGGCTATGTTCCATGGGGTCGCAGAGAGTCAGACATGACTGAGCAACTAACCTTCATCTCACATTCACTTTTCAACCACAAACCTCCCAATCCTTCTCTTCCCAACACCCTCTGACTTGGCACCCACAAAACTGTTCTCCATGTCTGTGAGTCTATTTCTGTCTGTAAATAAGTTCCTACATGTCATTTTTAAAATTCCATGGAGAAGTGGTAACTATGTAAAAGTGAAAGTCACTCAGTCATGTCCAACTCTCCGTGACACCATGGACTATAGCCCACCAGGTTCCTCTGTCCATGGAGATGCTCCAGGCAAGAATACTGGAGTGTGTTGCGATTTCACTCTCCAGGGGATCTTCCTGACCCAGAGATCGAATACAGGTCTCCTGCACTGTGGGCAGATTCATGACCATCTGAACGATGGCATTATACCTACACTAAAGTGAGAGGTGGACTATAAGGAAAGCGGAGTGCTGAAGAATTGATGTTTTTGAACTGTGGTGTTGGAGAAGACCTATGAGAGTCCCTTGGACTGCAAGGAGATTCAACCAGTCTATCTTAAAGGAAATCAGTTCTGAATATTCATTGGAAGGACTGATGATGAAGCTGAAACTCCAATACTTTAGCCGCCGGATGCAAGAAATGGCCCATTTGGAAAGATCCTGATGCTGGGAATAAATGAAGGCGGGAGGAGAAGGGGACAAGAGAGGATCAGATGGTTGGATGTCATCACCGACTCAATGGACATGAGTTAGAACAAGCTCTGGGGGAAAAAAAAAAAAAAGAACAAGCTCTGGGAGTTCATGATGGACAGGAAAACCTGGCATATGGCAGACCATAGGGTCACAAAGAGTTGGATATGACAACCAGTGAAATGAACTGAAAACTATAAGTGGCATTTATAGTATTTGTCTTTCCCTTTCAGACTTATTTCACTCAGCATGACAAATATCTAGGTCCATCCATGTTGCTGTAAATAGAGCTATTTGCTTCTTTTCCTGGCTTAGTAATGTTCCATTGAATATATATACCACCTCTTTGTTATCACATTCACCTGGACGGTAGTGCTTTCAGTCACTCTTTTTGTTAAGATTCTTTCTCAACAGAACATTAAAACCATACTTTAGATCAGGGTCATTTCTGGAGGCTGTATTAGTTTAGAAAGTTTAAATATCTCACATTTGGAACATCTTCTGAGTAGGAATATATTGCAAATGCATGTTTCAGACAGTGTGATTGGAAGCCATTTACTGGTTCTGTCAGAATCACATGAAATCAAACACTGGTCTTGCAGAAAGCATGCAAGCAGAAGTCGCTCAGTCGTGTCCAATTCCTTGTAATCCCATGGACCATGACAGTCCACGGAATTCTCCAGGCCAGAATACTGGAGAAGACTTTCCCTTCTCCAGGGGATCTTCTCAACCTATGGATCAAACCCAGTTCTCCCCAGCTGAGCCACAAGGGAAGCCCAAGAATATTGGAGTGGGTAGCCTATCCCTTCTCCAGCAGATCTTCCCAACCCAGGAATTGAACCTGTGTCTCCTGCATTGCAGGCTGATTCTTTACCAACTGAGCTACCAGGGAAGCAGAGCTCTCTTTAACACTGATTCTCCTGGAGGAGGAATGTGTGTGTACAACCACGAGGTGAGGACTGATGGGAACATTAATAATTTCCCCCAACTCGTGGGGATTCCAGCTTCTCTTTGATGACTCTGGTCTGCAAGATTCCTGCAGGATAAGACTCTCTCACCACAGCTTCTTGGCATTAACCAGCCAAATGGTGTGCAATAGTATGACTCAAGAGCAGCAAAATTATGTAACAAAAAAATTCTTCAGTGACACAATTAAATTGTTGGAACAAACATTTCACACATATGAAAAGACAGTGTGACCTTATTACTTCACCTGCAAGGGGCAGCATTAATAATGGACTGTGTTTACTTACAAAAGTGTCAGAGTCACTTTTTCTTTCACTCCTCTGGACAGTCATCTGGGGAAAAACAAAATGGGAGAAATAAAAGAGCCGCTGATAACTAACATTCCCCAGCATTTCCAAGTTTTCTTTCTTTCATCCTTTCTTCCCTCCTTCCTTCCTTTCTTTCTTGTAGTAACGGATCTTAAAAAAGATATTACTTGTGGAAGAAGAAATTTTGAATGAGTTGATTTGTTTTCTTATATTGATACGCCAGGTGAATGGTATTGTCAGGGGAAAAAATATAATTCCTTTACCATGATCAATGAAGTTCAGGATATTTTCTTCTGGAATCCCTTTTTCTCTCACCGTGTTGTAGAACTCTTCTTTGCATTTCGGTCCGATTTCATCTCCTATGCCTATAAAATCACCATGCAAAAAGCAGAATTATCGACCCCTGGAAACCCACAGAAATTTCTCAATGTACAGAAAAGAAATGGAACGTGCAATCAGATGTTCGCTTGTGTAATCTAAGAGCTTCACACAGTTCCCACAACACAAACATGTGCTTTCTGTCTTAAGAATTGACCCCAGTCCAACTTGGTGAGCAGGGCACCCTACTCCTCACCATCAGGAGCTGAACCACAAAGACTTGCCAGGATCTCCATGAACTTGGAGCTCAGTCCATCCTAATATGGAGTCTATGTGCTTCTCCCACCTTCCTCATATATGTACCTGCCACACATATCTGTTTGTACACCAAGCTTAGTAGGAAACAACTTTCTGCATTTCCATGGACACATTCACCTCATCACACATAATAACCGGGTGTGACTTACTCTTTCATGAACCTATCTTTCTACCCAATAACCTTTTCTGAAGTAGACCCCTGTTGTCTCCAAGTCACACATACCTCTCAGTGCGTCTGTGTGGTTACTTGATGGGGTGATGTCAGTGTTCATAAGAACAATGCATTTGAATCATGGAATAGGAGAAAGGTTTATCGTACAAGTGTCTGTTCCAAAGCTTACAGTGCATCAGTAAACTGATACTGTATACTAATGCATACATATGCAATCTGCATATATATGGAATCTGGAAATAAGGTACTGATAATGAATTTATTTGCAGGCCATCAGTGGAGAAACAGTCACAGAGAAGAGACTTATGGGCATGGGGAGAGGGGAGGAGATGGTGAGATGAATGGAGGGAGTAACATGCAAACTTACATGACCGTATTTAAAGTAGATAGCCAATGCGAATTTGCTCTCTGTCTCAGGGAACTCAAACAGGGGCTATCAACCTCGAGGGGTGGGATGGGGAGGGAGATGCAAGGGAGTTTCAAAAGGGAGGGGACATATATATACCTATGAGCTTCCCTTGTGTCTCTGCTAGTAAAGATCCCTCCTGCACTGTGGGAGCCCTGGCTTGATCCGTGAGTTGGGAAGTTACCCTGGAGAAGGGAAATGGCACCCACTCCAATATTCTGGCCTGAAGAATTTCATGGACTGTCTAGTGCATGGGGTCACAAAGAGTCTGACACGACTGAGCAACTTTCACACAAGCATATGGTTACCTATGGCTGATTCATGTTGATGTTTGGCAGAAAACAACACAATCGATAAAGCAGTGATCCTTCAATTAAAAATTAAATAGAATTTTCAACATGAAATAAAGTCAGCCTCATTATAGACATGGCTCGAAACTTGTTGACATATATAAAATAAAATAATCTACTAAAATTTCATTTTAAAAATTTCAACAGTAAGAAATCATTTTGAAATGTCTGATGTGATATTCTGCACCCGATGACCTCCTGTTCCTTGGTAGATTACCTTCCAGGATCATGAATTCGGTGAGCATAAAGACGCAGGCCTCGCACCCTGGATATGGAATCCTGTCAGCACCTCCTGATACTCTAAATGAAAGTCCTGATAGGGGACGTGTTACATGAGAATGGCAATGGGAATTATAGGATGTCACACCTACCAAACAATTGCACCAGTTGTGTCTCCTTGTCATGTCCATCCACATTGATAACATCGGCTATGAGAGTGTTGTTTTCCAATCTAACAACCCGAAATTCAGTGTGGCCCGCGTCTATGAGAGAGAGAAAAGATTCAAATGGCACCACCTTAACGTATCGTCAGTTAGATGGTTGTGACAGACGGCGGGCATGAAGATCAGCCCATAGTGTATGGGCCCACTCAAGCCATGCATGCCCAGAGTGGTACCGTTACCCACGGCAAGGAGAGGAGGCACGACTGGTCCTCATCCTCACTTTTCCTATACTTAACCAGTCACTCCTTGCTGTCTTACTAAAATGCTTTCTAGAACGTGTGTTCTGAAAAACCTAACAGATTATTTTTTTGGCTTTTGAATTAATTTATTCATTTTTGATTTGCTGAGTCTTCCCTGCTGCCCATGGGCTTTTTGCACTTATGGTGACTGTGGAGTACAGTCTAGTTGTTTTATGCGGACTTCTCATTGCAGTGGCTCCTCTTGTTGCTGAACAGAGGCTCTGGGATGCATGGGCTTCAGTAGTTGCAGCTCGGGGTTCTAGAGTGCAGGATCAGTAGTTGTGGTACATGAGCTTATTGCCCCACGTCATGTGGGATCTTCTCGGACTAGGGATTGAACCTTTGTCTCCTGCCCTGGCAGGCAGATTCTTATCCCCTGGACCACCAGGGAATTCCCCAAGAGTGTTTTAAAGAGCATGAACATGTCAAATCCAGGTTGAAAATGTCTTTGTATTTCTGCTACTCCCGCCGTGGAATTGGTTTTTCTTGATCAAAAGCAAATTACCATTCATCGCCTTCTGTTCCTGAGTGCCTATGCCAGGCCAGGCAACCTTTTGAACACTTTAAGTATTCTATTTCCCGAGCGCCTCTGACTTGGGTATGACCCAGCCCACTGCCGTGTCCGTTGGTGTGAAGACATCTTACTTGCTGGGACGTGTAGGCAGTGCCCACCTAGTGGTGGCCTCCTTCTCCACCTGGAGTGCTGCCCCTCCTCTCTGCCCTGCCCATGTGTCTGCACAAGAAGCATCTCTGACCTACTGTGTGTCCCCACTACACCCTCTACATCCATCCTCTCTCTCCTGGCCTCCATCTCAGCAACATGAAATGTAAGACTGCCCATCAGTGACCCTGAAGCATGCAAACACCACTGCTCCATGTCTGAAACACTGAAAATTGTGAGTGTGCTTGGGGGGGGGGGGGGGGAAGCAGCCAAAGCAGCTTCAGAGTCTCAGAGCCCTGGCAAGAATATGCAATTTTCCCAAGGCCACGCCGAGTCCACCAGCCTTGCTCACGTTGAGACAGCTTAAGTCAGACTATGCATGTCCTCAGATTATCAGTGACCACCTGTGGTTAACCATGGCTTCACCCAGGTGGGCATAGCAGCATCACTGAGTTGCCTGTATTGTTCATGAAGGGATGGGACAGTAAGAGTAAACCTATTTTCTGGCCATCAAGACACCATCAAGGCCACTGCTGGTACTGGGCCTGATGTGGGGACACCTCACAGTCCCCAAGACGAACCTGAAGGCTGCAATGGCTGGTCCCCAAGAGAACTTCCAATAAGTCTTGCACTTCTGTTGGTCTCCATGTTTAGTCATTGGGTAAAAATCAAGCTAAAAAGGGTTACAAAAATGGAGAAGACTAAACATAGTGAAAACATTCATGATTCAGCCAAAGGAAACCATATAATGGGAATAAGAAAAAAAGAAGGCATACTTTAGAAAACCTCAAATACTAGAAGTTATCGATCAAAATATGGGGAAATCGTTCAGGCATGAATTTTACTAATTTGTGGCTATCGTTTATGTAATGTGTGACTACTTAGTTTAGGCAAGGGTTGTGATCACATATTGATGTGTTTAAATTTTAATCAAACAATGTTTCCCTTAGGCCATGTGAAAATAAGAATATTATTTAGGGCCATTATTAAGAGCTCAGAGATACAAAGCTTAGCCAGCAGCCCCATTGCTTTGTATAGAAGCTGCCTTGATGGTTGAACTCATGATGATCTCCTTGAGTTCAAGTTCAACCATCTCACCTTGAATGGACCAAGATTTTATAAGATTGTTTTTAAAAAGTGAATGGCATGAACGTGCCATCTCAAGATAGACCCCGAGACCTCAGTTCTTAAGCCTGTTGCAAATTATCTGTGAGAACCCTACAAAATAGAAATTCTATGCTCATGCTTAGTCACATTGTTCTTGTTGATATGTAATCACTATGATATGTCTGACTCTCCATGACCCTATGTACTGTACCACACCAAGTTCCGCTGTCCTCCACCATCTTCCAGAGTCTGCTCAAATTCATGTCCTTTGAGTTGATGATGTCATCTGATCATCTAATCCTCTGTCATTCCTTTCTCCTGCCTTCAAACTTTCCCAGCACAAGGGTCTTTTTCAATGAGTCAGGTGGCCAACATACTGGGACTTTAGCTTCAGTATCAGTGCTTCCAATGAATATTCAGGACTGATCTCCTTTAGGATAGACTGGTTTGATCTCCTTGCGGTCCAAGGGACTCTCAAGAGTCTTCCCCAGCACCACAGTTCAGAAGCATCAGTTCTTTGGAGCTCAGCCTTCTTTATGGTACACCTCTCAAATCCATTCATAATCACTGAAGAAACAACCATACTATTGACAGAACGGACCTTTGTTGGCAAAGTGGTATCAATGTATTTTAATAAGCTGTCTTGGATTGTCATATCTTTCCTTCCAAATTCAATTATCTTTAATTACGTAGCTGCAGTCACAATCCACAGAGATTTTCGAGCTCAAGAAAATAAAGTCTGTCACTTCTTCCACTCTTTCCACTTTCTATTTCCCATAAAGTGAGGGGACCAGATGCCATGATCTTAGAGTTTTTGAATGTTGAGTTTCAGGCCAGCTCTTTCAGTCTCCTCTTTCACCATTATCAAGAGACTCTATTTCCTCTTCATTTTCTTCCATTAAAATGGTATCATCTGCATATTTGAGGCTGTTGATATTTCTGGCAGCAATCTTGAATCTAGCTTGTCATTGACCCAGCCTGGCATTTAGCATGATGTACTCTGTGTATAAGTTATACAAGCAGCATGACATTTTATACTATCTTGTACTCTTTTCCTAATTTTGAACTAGTCTGTTGTTCCACATCCAATTCTCACTGTTGCTGACTGATCCACCTACAGGTTTCTCTGGAGACAGGTCAAGCAATCCAGTATTCCCATATCCTTAAGAATTTTCCACCGTTTGTTGTGATCCACACAGTCAAAATCTTTACTATAGTCAATGAAGCAAAAAAAAAAATTTTTTTTTTCTGGAATTCCCTTATTTCTCCATGATCCATTGAATGTTGAGAATTTGATCTGGTTCATCTCCCTTTTCTAAACCATGCCTATGCTTCTGGAAGTCAGATCATGTACCACTGAATCCTAACTTGAAGGATGTCGAGGACTGCCTTGATCACATGTAAAATGAGCACAACAGTGCAGTAGTCTGAACATTCTTTGTTACTGTCCTTCTTTGGGATTGAAATGGAAACTGGCCCTTTCCAATTCTGTGACCACTGCCGACTTTTCCAAAGTTGCTGACACATTGCTTGCAGTCCTTCAACAGCATCATCTATGAGGATTTTAAAGAGCACAGCTTGAATTCTGTCACCTCCACTAGTGTTGTTCATATAATGCTTCCTAAAGCCCACTCAATTTCACGGTCTAGGATGTCTAGATCTGGTCTCGTTGAGTAACACTCCACTGAGGGGAGATGTTCCAGTCCCTGACCTCTGAGTTTTAGTAGGAGTTGAATTCAAGTGTATCAGGTTATTGAAGAAAGTTGAGAGCAAGATTTCTACCTGAACATACTCTTTCCAGTGAAGCATTCATACTTACAGTCAAAATAATAAACATCTCCTTCCTTTGTGCCTGTGGTATATGCTCTTATGCATTCTCCATCCTCCCTTAAAAACAAAACATATTTAAGTTGGTTGACTAAGATGATAAAAATTTGATGGATAGTTAGGATTCTTTCGGTATGACACCCAAGAATATGTGTCAGGTATCACCTCAGTGCTGGTGAACAATTTGTCCTTTAAAAGAGACAAAATGTGTGGTCTCAGATCCAGTCACCATCACGTGACAAGGATGGCTTATCTACACAGTGAATCTGACCAGTAGTTCCAAAGATAACCTGCAGATACAAAGCAGGTCGTGTTTAAAGCCAATAAACATAGAGAAATCTAGAATTTTAGGAAAAAAGAAAAAGAATGAACTTTTCCGTTATATATGTAGTTTCTGAAAATGGAGAGGCATAGCCGTCATGACAAACCTTGTGCTTTGTCACAGCCCTGGCAGTGATTCATTAGACAATGAAAGTGAAAGTGTTTCTCACTCAGTAGAGTCCAACTCTTTGCCACCCCATGGACCCGCCAGTCTCCTCCTCTGTCCATGGGATTCTCCAGGCAAGGAGAATGGAGTGGGTTGCCATTTCCTTTTCCAGGGGAATTTCCTGACCCAGGGATCGAATCAGGGTCTCCTGCATCACAGGCAGATTCTTTACCCTCTGAAACACCAGGGAAGCCCTTATTAGATAATATGAGAGTCACCAGGCCTTATTACACAGACTAAGAGCCAACAGCAAAGCCATCATTAGACAATCTGAGAGCCTAAAACCACAAAATTCAAAAAAAGTTTTTCTCCAAGCACACACTCTGCCTCCATCACAATACCATATGAGGATTAAACTTGAAAGACACATGTCTGTATACATGTGTATACATACAAATTTCTCACTCACAAAGACACAAACACTAGTAAACACTTAAGTACACATGATGTGCTTATATGATATTATGAAGAGATGTGTGTGTATAATAGATGATAAGTATATATTGTCACCTCTGTAGCAAAAGAGTAAGTGGCTTCACATATGTCCTCTGTACATGTATGTGAAAAAAGGTCTATTTGGCACATAGAAAGAATTTTCGTGAAACTAATACTAAAAGGGAAATAACGCTACAGGAACTGGATTAATTGTTGAACAGTCACCTTGGAAAAGAATGCCCACATTGAAGTGTGTGGTCAGTGTTCTTGGTCATTGAAAATG